CCGTTGAAAAATAGTCAGACTCCGTCCCAATCTCGTGTTGCATAGTTGATTCTGAATATTGCGCGGTTTTAGGCCGATTTTAGTGGAAAACAAGAGGAACAACCTGAAACGTTCTACATAAAAAGAGGCACAACTTCTTCGCAACAATATTGCCCATTTTATCCTAAAAGGTGAACGGCTTTAGGTTGATTTTTGCGAAAAACAGGTGGAACGACCTGGAGGCTTCCAAATGACTTCAACTCTGAAAATTGAGCAGTTTTAAGTGGATTTTAGCGGGCCAACGTAAAACTTTTAATCAAAAAGTGCCCAGGATTTATATAAGTCAGTGGCGTGCTTATAGGACTCCACACAACTTCGCTGAAGTTCCCTGCCAATTTAACGCTAAAGTAGAGAAGAACCATTTGAGACTTTCCGTTGAAAAATAGTCAGACTCCGTCTCAATCTCGTGTTGGATAATTGATTGCGAATATTGCGCAGTTTTAGGCCGATTTTAGTGGAAAACAAGAGGAACAACCTGAAACGTTCTACATAAAAAGTGGCACAACTTCTACGCAAAAATATTGCCCATTTTATCTTAAAAGTTGAACGGATTTAGGCTGATTATGCGAAAAACAGGACGAACGACCTGGAGGCTTCCAAATCACTTGAACTCTGAAAATTGAACAGTTTTAAGTGGATTTTAGCGGGCCAATGTAAAACTTTTAACCAAAAAGTGCCCAAGTTTCATATAAGTCAGTGGCGTGATTGTAGGATTCGACATAACTTCGCTGAAGTTCCCTGCCAATTTAACGCTAAAGTAGAGAAGAACCACTTGAGACTTTCCGTTGAAAAATAGTCAGACTCCGTCTCAATCTCGTGTTGCATAGTTGATTCTGAATATTGCGTGGTTTTAGGCCGATTTTAGTGGAAAACAAGAGGAACAACCTGAAACGTTTTACATAAAAAGTGGCACAACTTCTACGCAAAAATATTGCCCATTTTACCCTAAAAGGTGAACGGCTTTAGGTTGATTTTTGCGAAAAACAGGCGGAATGACCTGGAGGCTTCCACATGACTTGAACTCTGAAAATTGAACAGTTTTAAGTGGATTTTAGCGGGCCAACGTCAAACATTTTAACGAAAAAGTGCCACCTTTTTAGCGTAAATCAGTGTCGTGCTCGTTGGATTATCCTGATTTAGCGCTCAAGAAGTTTCATCCCGTTTTAACTGCTAAAGAAACGAAGAAAACCTGAGCAACTCCGTGTTTGCCAGTGTCGGTACATTTTACACAAAAGTTGTTTATTTTCCAATTTGTATAGTAAGGTTGCTTTCAAAAACGACCGCAGAAGTAATAAAATGTTTTTTTTTAGAAAACTGTTTGGTTTGTTTGAAAAAAAATCGATCGATCGATACTGATTTTGGCTCGATTCCGTCTAAGAACGGCCAGTCGAAGTTCTCATAACTCCTGTAGCCGATAAATTACTTCCTTTTTGACGGCCCCATATAAAAGTAGACTGCGATCTTCCAACGAATAATTCTCATTTTCACCTGCGAAAGGCTTCGAGGAAGCGCAAAACCGCTTTTATACCCGCCGACATATTCCCGTGCCGCTACTAGCTAAATTTCTGCTGCATTTTATTGTTTTTACTTTTCTTGGCAGTAGCGTGCTGGATTCAATATAACAGTCAATTATTGTTGGCCGAGAATCGCCTGGCTGTTCTGGGAACCGAGGGAACGACCTTTTCTTCTTGTCCCCAGACAGTTTTCGGAAAATTCGAAAAACCGATTAAATTCTATGAGTTTCCAGCTCAGACCCAGTGCAGTTACCAAGGCAATTTACCGCAGTGTTTCCCATAAAAATCGCTCTCATATCCGCTTAAAGGCCAACCGATCCTCTACATATCCGAGGCCTGATGTGAATATAACAAGTAAAGTTAATTACGAGGGGGTTGGAAACTTTCGGTTTCACTGAAATGCTAAGAGGCGGCACCTTAATTATCGCGAGACAGGTAGTCGACACCCCACAAGAGAGTGAAGCAACGTAAATTTGCTCTCTCCCAACAGCCATCAGTTTCGTAAACTGTTTCTATTAGGTTGTTTTAGAGCGGAAAACGCCAAATGGCCATTTAGTTCTGTTTGGTGAGGTGTTGAGGTCGGGAATTTGCCGGATGAATTGCACAAGAACCCGCATGAAAAACCAAAAACATTACAGTTTTTGATTGTGTGGTATGTTTATATATCGTCCACCTCTGGCCACTGTTTACAAACGTACAAGAGAAATATAGGCTAGGAATTTTTTAGGGGTTTTTACTTTTTTTAATGTTTAATGTTATGGCAAACATTACACTGATATATTTTTTTTGCAAAAACTCTTCATGATAATTTGAAAGCGAATTTAAATTCAAGTCAGATATTCGCCGCCAAAAACGCCGAATCCGTATCGTCGGTTGCCTATCCCGACTGTGACGTAGCAGGTCATATCAACAAAGCGTCTCGAGTTTATTTTCCCGATTTCGCAGCTTTGCTTTATTATTTACGTTCATTTTTTTACATTTTTACATTTTCAAATGTATGCCAAGGCTTAAAGCAGCAACAGCGCTACACGTAAAAACTGAAGATGGTGGAAAAATACACCGAAACGTATTTTAATTGATAAATAAAGACAATAAATGACTGAAACCCAGGAATTAATTTTGATATATATATATGTGTTCAGTTTTTAGTAAAATTGCGCTCAATTTTCCTGTTCTTAATTGATCTCGTGCTGGAAAAGCCACAGTTGTCACCATTAAGCGGCACTTTGACACGGAAAACGAATTTTTCTCAGGAAGATTTTTCGGTTTCAGGTGAAAATATGGTTCCAGAATCGGCGCAGCAAATACAAGAAAATGATGAAGGCAGCACAGGTGACGGGCGGCACGAATAATAATGGCAACCCCAGTTCGCATTCGGGACTTCTCGGTGGCAATGGGAACCTTCCTCCAACGAGTCCAGGGCCGCAAAGCCAGAATATGATGCAAGGTAGGATCAAACTTGAAGGTAAACTTCATTTCATTTACTTCATTAGCTGTATGTACAGATACCGAGTGATCTTCGCTCCTTTGTCCTACAGGGTGATGCAAACTTGGCGCCATTCCTTTCAAGGCATTTGGCCCTGGAAAGAGTTTCTATTGGTTTCAGATTTGTTTGTTTGACAAACGTGTCAGTCTTTTTGGTTTTTTTGGTTAGCTTCTGAATTGCGCACGTCAAAACTAAACATGCGTGAAGTTAACCTTCTTTGCGGAGACTTATAGGAAGATTTCCTTTGACGTTGAACTATTGAAGCCAGTTAAGGAAACGTTTTTTCATCGGAAAACTTTCTGTAAACACGAAGCAGCGATATTGGATGCAAACTGATGTTGTCAAGTGAGGTTATGAAGGGAAGTTGGGCAGTTCGACGTGCGCATTTCTTGGGAAAATAGTGCAAAATAAGCAAATAACGACCAAGATCACTCATCAATACCAGTCTCACTCATCACTAATTGGAAAACTAAATTTTCCTGGAATGCTTGAACGACTGCAGTTCTATCAATTAAATAATTATTTTTCAATGACCAAATCGCCACTGGCCTATGCAACCGATTACATTGTTGCCAAATTTCTGATCCACTTTTTGGGGAATATCGCAGTTACCTGCGAGGACTCACTCTTGAAACTCATTCCGCCTGCTTTGGCCAGACACCTGGAAGGAGCGGCGCCAACTTTGAGTTAAAACGGAAACAAACACGTCTTAGAAATGGCTCAAACAGTGACAGGTGGATGCATTGTTCTAATGGTACTTTGATTGTTTCAGGGGGTGGTTCTTCGAGTGGTTCGCCTGCAACTGGCGGCTACATGCAACATCCGAGTCCCACACCGAGTTCGACGCCCGGCTCCGATATGTCAGGACAACCAGCGCCCAGTCCAGGTGGCGGCTGGGACGTGAAACCGCAGCAGCCGATCCACGCCCACCCTCCACACCCAACGCCGCACCCTCACCCTCACCCGCCCACCCACAACTACCTCCCGCAGTATTCGTGGTATCCGACGGATAATCCCGGTCTATTAACGTAAGTCCACTGTTTTTGCCTCTTTTGTTTCAATCGTTATTAAGCGTTTAGTAAGTCAGAGGTAGTAGGGAGCACCGGAACGATCATCAAAATGTCACCTTAGGTCAAAAAACTGCAAAATAGAATAATTATTTTATAAAGGGCAGAAAGACCTATTGGGTCGATAGCCTTTTTCTATAGGAAATAAAGATTATATATATATAGGGTTATTCACGCTATACGGCACGGAAGTTTGGAAAATTACGGCAATATTTTCTTGATAAAATACGGATTTTGCGAAATGTCAAAAGTTTCGGCTTTATTTGCCCGAATTTGAGCGAAAAATAACTTCAGTTGAAATCTTAAAAAAAGGTCAGTTTTACGGAAATTTGTTTCGTTGTGGAGATTTTTGATTATTTTTCAACTACCGATTTTGCCAGAAAATGTTGAAAAAAGCCTTGCCTAAAGCGCACTTCATATTTGATAAAAATCAACATTTGTTCCGATTTTTATGCAAAAAACCTTTTTATGAAGTAAATTCCCACCAAACTGGGTTGGTTTGYTTCGGCAAAAATCCCCGATTKMMCTAAAGGAAAAMAACTGAWATCCAAGCRCAGACTRATGACTATTGACGCKTAAAACTWGAAAACCAAAAAAAACCCRAATTGCGACAAAAAAAYAATTTTTACAGAATTTTCCTCAGTGTCTTCTAAACGACTGACTAAAGCCATGGTGGRTTTTTGTAATTTCTGTACTTATTACKGTCAAAATCGGTTATTTTTGSAGCTTTCAAWGACTCCCAAGCGATTTCAARGAAAATGCTGTAAAAAATTGGMCAAGTTTGGAAACATTTCTCAAAATCAATCAASAAACYTCCAATAACTTGTTTATTAGTAGACGTAGGGAAAAACTGRATACCCACTTTCTTATGCACTTCAACCCCTCTATTCAGTGGCGTGCAATTTGAGTACAWTTTTTTGAAAATCGTTCATTCAGCAACCATGAAAAATTAATATTCACGGTTCGATTAAAGACGCATTTGTATTTTCTACCATTCCTGGCCAAAGCTGAACATTTGTCGGCGACGAAACACGTAGAACGAATAACGACTCCTTAATAATGAACAGCATAAATGGCACTTTTCACAGCCGCAAGACAACTAAATAACACGGTGTCGATACAGTCAGTGTCACTCGTATAAAATCTGAAAACTGCCTGTAGTAACCCAGTTTATTTAAATATTTATGTTTCCTATTAAGCAATATGCAATAGCGAGCGGCAGCCGATTTGCCTCGCAGTAATTAAACGCATGCAGGAATATTTCGTCTTTTCAATAATCTCCGGTGTTGTTTTTCACTGTTTCCTATGCGTAACAACCGATTACTAATCATTCGCACAGTCACAAAATGCAAATCGATTGAATCTTACCAAGATCCAATTAATAAGGCGAGAAAAAATGTTGGATGGTAAATAAATCGCCTATTTTGACGAGCAATTCGAAAAGAGCTGTTCACAAACCGTTTTTTTTGGTGATTTTTTATTACGATTTTGTTGGAAATTTACATTTTATTTTTTCTCCTGAGCGACGCCCCATAGTAAAAGGCTTGTTCTTGATAAAATATACGGCTGGTTCAAAGGTATTAGGTGATTCTTGCAATTCTTCCAGATTCTCAGTTTTGAGTGAAAAAAATTCAAATATCTCCAAAAATTAAAATAATGGACTAAGTCTGACCACACCACTAGATCGAGGGGCTCAAAGAGCATAAAAAATTCACTTTTTCTCGAAAGTGACTAATAAGCGAGCAACTGGAAGTTTTCCGACTAGCCGTCGAATTTAGCAAAAAATGGAAATTTGGCTATTTGGCAGGTGGAATTCTGGTCAAAATTTCACTCGATCTCTAAACCCTCCAAAATAGTTAAGAAATTTCGAAAATTGTTTAACCTCAGGCCCCAGTCATCTAGAAGCACTTTATGAGGTTTCAAAGGAGAATTTCTCGTGTTAAACTTCATTTTAACTGAAGAATGACTCACAAGAATCAGTCACGTTTTCACGGGAATTTCGGGTTTTCATGCACCTTTGAAACTCCGGCTCTCATAAGAGTTTGTACAAAATGTTTCTTCTTTCCTTCCTAATTCAATCCAGGAGTTTTTCGATAGAAACTCACCCCATTTCCCTCTGAAATTGTCAAGGAAAATGTTGAAACTTATTTGTTGCTAGTTTTCTCAAAAAGTCTTGATTTCAAGAAGTTTTGGATTTGCGTGGTTTGCTTTTGAGTTGCAAAATCGTCTCATACATGACGCTGCTTTTTTCGAAGTTTCTCAAGAACCATTTGAGCCATAAAGTTCGTTCTGGCATCGTTGGACAGAGAATTGAAATGTCGATTGAGTTATAACAACATGAGTGAGGAAATTCGAGTAGTTTTGATCCAGAAAGCGCAATTTCATTATCAGACCTTTAGGTGCAAGATTATGCCAAAAATTGCATGTTTTTCGTCCCGTTTTTGCTCATTTGTCGGAAGCAAACAGGGCAAGAAGTTTCATTTTTACATCATTCCAGAGAGAACTAAACGGCCTTTTGAAAATGTGAACCGTCAATAAGCAAATGTTTGCAGTTGTCTCAAAAAAGTCTTGATTTCAAGAAGTTTTGGATTTGCGTGGTTTGCTTTTGAGTTGCAAAATCGTCTCATACATGACGCTGCTTTTTTCGAAGTTTCTCAAGAACCATTTGAGCCACAAAGTTCCTTCGTCACCCTCTAGCGCATCCACAACACGAAACGCTAAACATTGCAAAAACCAAAAAAATGGTCCTTAGATTTTTTTCTCCCATCGTGTTTTTCTCCCATCGGACAATTTCAACTCTCCATAAGAGTCACTAGCTTTATCCGAATTTTTTTTCTCGAACAAACTCACCCAGTTTGGCTTTTACTGTCCATGTGAAACGCGCTGGTAAGGAAACTTTTGGGCGACCAAATCGCTAATGAATGCAAAATATTGGCATCGGCTAAATTGATCATTATAAGTAATCACTAATTTTCTTCGAACGGTTTTCCTGGTTGGCGCCTTCGTGACTTGTGCCGATTTATTAGTGTCATCTTGTTATTTTTAATTAATTGCCCTTTGCTGTACTGGACTAAACGGAGGTTTTCCGTTAATTCCTGCTCAAAAAAGCACAAGAAAAAATGGGCAAACCGACTTGCTGGCGAACCAGCATCAATTAAATAACGAGTAATTAATATGCAAACCTAAACAAGCTAAAAGTAAAGCATTTCGAGAGTCGTGATGGTTGCCGGTGACTGTAATTACTAGTTTCGCTATTTAAACATTAGCGTCCATCTCCAAGTTCCTGAAGGGTTCGCAAATTACTACGGCCGAGACTTTGTTTAAATCAATAAAAATCTCCGCACACCTCAAATTAAAAACAAATGAGATTTTGCCCTTAAATAATGTCTGTTTCTTTGTTGCAGGGTATGGCCAGCTGTGTAATACACTCCGAAGATTAGTTGCTAATTTAGAAACTTTACAAAACTCTATTGACAAAGAAGAAACTGTGACCAGTGATTGTGTAAATGTTATTTTTATTGTTGTTGAATTTCATTGTTTTTTTTCTTTTGATTCCTTTAGGCTGTAACATAGTGACTAACTAACTATCAGAGTGTAGATCTCAGAAATGGTGGCTGGTTTTGCTTTGTTTTGGCTGTCCGAACAAGGAAAACCGTATCAAAGTAAAATAGATGATTCTGGTGCAATATGAGTATGATATTTTTCACTATCCAGTGGCATAATTGGATGGATGTTGCAAAAAATTAGTTTAATTTGGAGGATTTTTCAATTGTGTCTGTTTGAACCAGTTTTTTTCAAAAATTCATAAGCTCTAACGTAACTGCTTTTAACCATCAAGAGGTGAGACATCCTGTATATTATGTCACTGTTCAAATATTTCAATTCCCGATTACTAATCGAACAGCGCTTTACAATACGATGTAATATAGACTTCTGCAACCGAAAGTATTTGAAGCAACAAGCTAATCACCAAAGAAGATCCTGATTTGTTCATGTTTTCAGTTGCGAAATTTAATTAATAAAATAAATAATTAATGGCGGTCTTATATTACATCAAATTCGCGTAATTTGTTCAGTTTAACATGTTTTTTGTTGGAGTATAAATTTGTCCCGTAGATTTGAATGTTGGGCTATGCGGTAATGGAATTATAAATATTTTGTAAAATATACCCGAGTACTTGCCATTAGTGGGGCAAGGTTACTGAGAGTAGCGATTCCTGTAATATATTATTATTATTATACCATAAAACATAGATGTTGATGAATGATGGTTGAATGTAAGACAGATCATGTACCTTATGTAAAGTAGTTTTAATTAATTATTGTCTGTCTTAAATCTAGGCAAAATATGATATTGAAAAGGAAAAGATGACTATTTCTAAATGTGTAAAATAAACGAAATTCTACTTTATAACTGGTGTTTTACTGCAATTTGTAAGTGATGTCACAAAAAACCGCAGCCGCATAAAGTCTTTGAGTGCGCAGCTCAAAATGAACGGCGGTTTTATTTATTAACGAATTTAACGACATTCGTTAATCAATAAAGTGCACGAGTGCCATAAATTACGGAAGTGATGAGACTGTCCAGTTACTTCCAACTTAGTAACGATAAATCTGCTCGTAAAGTTTATACCGGGGAATGTTACTGGCTGCCTCATTAAAAGTGGGCAATTTACATTAAAATATCTCCATAAAAATCCACATAGATTCAAAAAGGTCCAATCTCCTTAAAATCCTTGTAGGTTCTAACGAATTAGGGCTTTTTTGCGGAAATCTGCCTTGAAAATCAACAGTCTTCGTAAAAAGTTCTTCATTTATTCCACATTAAAAGTGTCGGTGTCGGAAAATGTGTCCAAAAATTTCCGGGTTGATGGTCATACATTGGAAAATTGCTGGCTTATTGTTCTTTTGAGTGAAAACGTAAAAATTGCTCTCTCGGTCCAGTGGTGAGCTCGAAAACTCTGTTATTGTTTCGTCAAATATTTACAACTTTTTATCGATAAAGTCGAAAAACATTAGTGTAATTTTCCAGCCAAATCAGCCAATGTTTCTTTTACAGGGCACTTGATATGAACATGATCATTAATGAGATGGTAAGGGAGGAAAATTTAGTACGAGTTGTGTTTGCCTTGTGACAATGCAACCCTTAACAGTGTCTCCATGTCGAAAAAAGTAGTCGACTTTAATAAATTTATAGCAAAAGAGTCTGAAAGAAGGATCAAGTGGAAACTTCCAGAGCGTGTGGACAACACTCTGGTCTTATCGAATCACTCAAGAACTTAAAATATTTTGCACAACTTTTAAGGTGAAATAGACGAAAAACCAACAACAAAATTCTCGTGAAAATGTCATTCGAAACCTGAAGAAGACCTACTTTCGAAACTCTGCAACCTATTTTGAGCGGCGTTCAAACGTTGTCTTCATTTTACTTGGCAAACTTTCGTCCAATTTCCTGAGATTTGCAGCGAACTGAAAAAATTCGTCCAAAACTTGCTTATTACTAGTTGGAAACAGAAAATGGATCACATTTTTTGTTCCAATTTCCTCCATTGGGGTGATCAAATGTTTTGATTAATTTTCAAGTCCAAAGATGCAAACTTTTTTCGGGAAACACTATTGGCAGTTTTTCCGAAAACCATCTACGTAAAGAGATTGCCAACTTTGGCAATAAATACGCTTGAACACTGCGCAATTTCTACCAAGAACGACTTTTTTCGATCGGAAGCTTAAAAGCTTAAAAGAAAAAAATGAAATGTGAAATTGACTCAAGTTCGAAAGTTTCAGGAAAAAACATAAGATTCAACATTTTCCTTGACAAATTTGAGATTTCCAAAAACCCGAAAGTTCCGTGAAAACGTGACTGATTCTCGTGAGTCATTCTTCAGTTAAACGGAACGTTAACACGAGAAATTATCCTAATAACCATTTTTTTTTATTTTTTGCAATGTTTTGCGTTTCGTGTTGTGGATGAGCTAGAGGGTGACGAAGGAACTTTAGTGTGGGCCCTTATGGGTGCTGAAACTTCAAATATCCCCAAAAGAAACACGACGAATAAAAAATCACTAAAAACCACGGTTTTTTTGCATTATTTGCGGTCGGTTGTATTTTGCCAGTGTAATCAATGCCGAAAAAAATCGAAACAAATAGCGCACCGTAATAAATTCGCAGCGAAATACCCTGATGATGTTGAAGTATGAAATCGCAACTCGAATCAGCTCATATTGTCAGGCAAAATAAACGAAAAACATTGACAATGAACAACATCAGCATTCTCTTGAAAATGGCATCTAAAACCTGAAGAAGACTTATTTTCGAAACTGTGCACTCCGTTTTGAGTGGCGTTTGGTAGTTTGTATAGATCGCGACGTCGAAATTTTGCCTTCAATCTACTTGGTAAAATTTTGTTCAATTTTCTAAGACTTAAAGGGAAATGGCAAAAATCGCCAAAGACTGCTTTGAGCACTTTGCTCCTCTACACAGTGGTTTCTGGAGGGAAAAAATAGACATCACCATTTTTTCGAGCAATTTCCTCCTCTACACAGTCGAGCGCTTAGAATTGTTCAATCATTTGCGATTTCGGACATTTTTCATTGAAACTTTTTGCAGTCGGAAGCACCGTTGCATGTGAAATTGACCCAAGTTCTAAAGTTTGCAGCGAAGAAAGTTTCGAAAAAAAACAAGTTTCAACATTTTCCTTGACAATTTCAGAGGAAAATGGGGTGAGTTTCTATCGAAAAACTCCTGGATTGAATTAGGAAGGAAAGAAGAAAAATTTTGCACAAACTCTTATGAGAGCCGGAGTTTCAAAGGTGCATGAAAACCCGAAATTCCCGTGAAAACGTGACTGATTCTTGTGAGACATTCTTCAGTTAAAATGAAGCTTAACTGGAGAAATTCTCCTTTTAACCCTCGTAGAGTGCTTCTGAGATGACTGGGACCGGAGGATAAACAATTTTCGAAATTTCTTAACTATTTTGGAGGGTTTAGAGATCAGGGGAAAATTTGACCAGAATTTCACCTGCGAAATAGCCAAATTTACATTTTTTGCTAAATTCGACGGCTAATCGGAAAAGTTCCAGTTGCTCGCTTATTGGGCGCTTTCGGGAAAAAGTGATTTTTTTATGCACTTTTACCAGTGGTGTGGTCAGACTTAGTCCATTATTTTCATTCTTGGAGAGATTTGAAATTTTTTCACTCAAAAACTGAGCATCTGGAGGAATTGTGAAAATCACCTAATTCTCTAATACTTCTGAATCAGCCGTATATTTTATCAATACAAGTTTTTGGCTGTGGGGCGTCGCTCAGGAATTTCCTCGCTTAAAAAATGTACTTATCTATAGAAAATTGCCCGATGACCGTATCAAGCCCAAACTTTCAAGGCATAGAGGGAAAACTACCTAATTTTCCTGCTATTGAACGCCTCGATTCACATCCTCTAGAAAAATTGCCGGAAAACAGCCGGCCGATGTGAGAGAGCCAAACAGTCAGAGAACAATCGAACAAACTGTAAACGACTTATACGATTAGGTGGACCGGGGAAAGATGAAGAAAAAGAAACCAGTTTTGTCGAACAAAAATAATCCCCCTGCAATATATATCGAACAGGACAGAAGTTGGACATACAACGGATACAAACGGCAGCGACAAACTAACAAGCGAATAATATTTGGAATTTCGCGCAATTTTTAACGCGGCACTTCAAAGAGCTGGCTACCGCATAAAAAACCGCTCCAGTTACATATCGATCCGAAGTGGAAAACAAAAAATACAGGCGGCGAATACCAGAAGTGCATGCGTACGTATACGAGTAAGACTTTTTGTTAAAAGGAATGAAACATGCAGGATTGTACGATGCAACTGAATTGCACGGTAACTGGATGCCTGCCCGTTGCCGGAATACTAGTCCCATCTGTTTTATCCAAAGGAAGCGAAAAAAATGCCCACTTAACTAGACAATCTCATTATGTATTAGCACAGTTTGCAAGTAGTGATGCGCCAAGCAAGTCCAAAGCTTGCGGGCTTTGCAGCAAGAGTCTAGCAAGTCCCGCCTTAAATAGGGCATAAAATCAACTGAAATAACAATTTAAAAAATAAAAGATGATGATGATGATGATGATAATCACCACTCAATCGCTCAAGACAGGGAGCAACGCATGTGTCCAAAAAATGGGGACCAGCGGTCAATTTAAGCAAAACCCAGTTGCTGTGTATACGGGAAGATCCGGCAGATGAGCTGAAGATGAATGCATAATCTGGGAATAAAGATGATGAAAACAGGACGAACTGAGGAAGGTATAAAGGACAGAATAACCATAGGAAAATAACCCAGTTGTTCAAAAATGCTTGAATTCAAGAAGTTTTAGATTTGCGTGGTTTTTTTTTGAGTTGCAAAATCCACTTGAACATGACGCTGCTTTTCTCGAACTTTCTCAAGAACCATTTGAGCCACTGTATTAGTTTTGGCGTCGCTGGATAAAGAATTGAAAGTTCCATTCACTCATAACAACATGAGTGACGAAATTCGAGTAGTTTGGACCCACACAACGAATTTTGAATACCAAATGCAAGATTATGACAAACATTTGATGTTTTCCGTCCCATTTTTGCTCATTTCTCGGAAGCAAACAGGGCAAGAACTTTCGTTTTTACATCATTCCAGAGAGGACTAAACGGTCTTTTGAGAAAGTGAACCGTTGATAAGCAAATGTGGGCAGTTTTCTCAAAAAAGTCTTGATTTCAACAAGTTTTGGTTTCCCGTGTTTCTTTTTGGTTGCAAAATCGACTCAAACATGACGCTGCGTTTTTCAAAGTTTCTCAAGCCCCATTTGAGCCACAAACTTCGTTCTGGCATCGTTGGGCAGGGACTTGAAAATTCGATTGAACAAGAGTGAGAAAAATTTGAGTAGTTTTGATCCAGAAAGCGAAATATGAATATCAGACACTTAGGTGCAAGATTATCTCAAAATTTCCTGACTTCCGTCCCGTTTCTGCTCATTTCTGGGAAGCAAAATGGGCAAGAATGTTCGTTTTTACATCCTTCCATAGAGAACTAAACGGCGTTTTGAGAAAGTGAACCGTCGATAAGCAAATGTTGGCAGTTTTCTCAAAAAAGTCTTCATTTCAAGAAGTTTTAGATTCGCGTGATTTGCTTTTGAGTTGCAAAATCGTCTCATACAAGACGCTGCTTTTTTCCTCAAGACCCATTTGAGTCACAAAATTCGTTCTGGCATCGTTGGACAGAGAATTGAAAAGTCGATTCAGGTATAACAACATGAGTGAGGAAATTCGAGTAGTTTTGATCCAGAAAGCGAAATTTCATTATCAGACACTTAGGTGCAAGACTATGCCAAAAATTGCATGTTTTTCGTCCCGTTTTTGCTCATTTCTCGGAAGCAAACAGGG